CCCCAAAACCCCAAAACCCCAAAACCCCAAAACCCCAAAACCCCAAGTTATGTTATTACGATTGGATGATAAATTTAGTTATATTCATTGATATTTCTTACGTCATTCTTCTGTATTAATCCTGCTTTTGTTAATTATTTGGACATTTTCTATATTATAGATGCATTATTGAGAAGAAAGATCCATAAACTATTAATAAGAACTAAGCAAATAATAGTAAAAGGTAAATAGAATATTATTACGTTTCTTCTTGATTCTGTTGATTAGGATTTTCTGAGATTTCTTCGACAATATCCAAGTGTCCAGACATTGAGTGTTGAGGATTCATTAGATTTCTTTGGTCAAAAGAGCCATTTTCTCTGAGAGATGCTTCATTATATCCACGATTACTGGGAGTATACCCACCTCTCGATCTATTTTAACATGCTTAGACTAATAAGAAGGTGACTTACATGTTTAGGTTATTTTGTCGTGCTATACGATGAAGAAGACTATAACTCTTTTTCATCAGCTCCTCAAGATTTTCCACTCTGTTTTCAATGTTTTCAATCTACTCTTTAAGCCAAAGATTACCTTTCCATTAATTGTATTAGTTCTTCTAGAAGTTTTTCTATTATTAATGACTTTGAATCTTTGAATTTTTCTCATTAAATACTTCTTTGCCTATAAAAATGATGGATTTTAGTTACTCTCTTTTCACTCAGATCATAATTTATTGAACTCTTGTTGAGCCTAGCTGAGGTTCCACTACTGGACAAGGACTCTTCTTGTCTGCTAAATTATGAAAGTTTAGACACGCCAAGCCACTAATGTTAACCCAAAGATGACTTACTTTCTGGAGTTTTTATTCTTAGCTACCTGATATTTCATCGCAGCGATGATTCATTTGGCAGCTCTTTTCACTTTTACAAGTTTATCAAATGCAACCTTCTGAGTGGAGGACAAGCTGAAAATTTCGGTAACCGAAACAATAAGCAGACCGATGATGAAGCCACCCCACAAAGCAGTCAGAACTGTAATGATTTTTCCAATATTTGTCAGAGGAGCAAAGTCACCGAAACCGACAGTTGTCATTGTGATGATCACTAAATATATCCAGTAAATTGGTCCGACATCGGTCCATTCTCTATACTATAAAAAAATTAATTTGAGGAAAGTAGATAATAAAGTAGAATGTCTTACTATTATCCAGGCTGGCCTTTCAGCGATTCTCATGAGATAGCTCAGAAACAACACTGAAAGAGTCAAGGTACCCAACACAGTCATTCCAGGATATTTAGATAAGTATCACTTGAATCAGAACCTAGTCCCGGCAGTGAATCCATATCGCTCACAATGAAGCTTTGCATAAGGGTCAGAGAACTCTGTGTGATTGAAAATATTCCGAACGAGGATATATATCCTTGTAAACATGAACATTAGTATGAAGTCTGACAAAAGGTACCTAATTTGCAGAGGCCGATCGAACTTGTGAACATTTTCGTGTACTGTAATCAGGTGTTCTACAAAGGGGATTGGGGATATCAAGCAGATTATCGAATCAATTACCAAGGTTAACGACATAAAATTTCTCCTCTTATTTTGTCTCATCAGATTAGTATAGTCATTGTTGTAAACTTGATATCGCACTTCTTTGGGAATTGGCAGGTTTTGCCATTTTCTTTTGTAATAATATCTCGTAAGCAAAAGAGCGAAAGATATTAATGAAAAACCGATTATTGTAAACCGGAGCAATTCGTGAATATAGTCAAGCTTAACTCTTTCGTAAGGGTTATCATCAAAACCATACTCATATTCAACTAATGCTAGCAAAAATGCAACAACAGAGAAAACTGCGCACATCAAGTCGAATCTTTTCCAGACTTTATACAACTTATTATGCTGGGTCATCATATCTTGAAAGACTTTGTTATTCCGTCTATTTTGTTCTTCCAAAAGAGTATTCCGGCTTGCTTCTTCGAAAGGCTGAGTACGATGGAAATCATTAATATGGTTTTCAGAAAAGCTCCTCATATTTCCAGCATTCTCGGTCATGGTGGTCTGAGCCATTCCGTTAAAATCCAACTTTATGAGAGGTGTTGAGGATGTCTTTTTGCTTTTGCTAAATTTCTCCTCCATTTAATATTATTAAAAGAAATTATTATGATATTCTATAATTTTTAGATAAGTTGGGGTTTTGGGGTTTTGGGGTTTTGGGGTTTTGGGG